GGTCCAACCGCACGGGCATTTGTGACATACCCCAGGTGAAGCTTAAAACCACATTGTTCAGCACACCGTAATATACCGAATGGAATTCGTGCCGTAACGGATTGTGTCGTCCCTCGTGCGGTGTATCTACTTTGGGCAATGGTTCGCCGGACGGAACTTGTGCCGGTAAAGAATGCACGCTGCTGAGACGGAATACGACGGCCGCGAATATTCACCAAGGCCTCTCATGATACGAATTCCATTTTGCTTTACACCAGATAACCTAGTTCCTGCATTCGACCGTCAGTCTGACAATCGAGCACGTGACCAGTCACGAGCAAAATAGACTACAAAGGCGAAAGTAGTCATCAGCATGGATGATGAACCTACTATCATGGTACGTCCGGACATACTTTTTTCCAAAGACCACCTCATAACGACATCACCGCGCGGCAGGCAAAGTCACTTGAGAAACAGATGAAAATGTGATAACGTGGCTTATGCAGCCTGGTATTCCTTGTGTTCGTAGCTCGTGAGTCTATCCTTTTGGTCCTCGTATGGATCGTCCTGGAGCCCGTTTCCCCTTTTTATGAAAAATTCCGCAAACACCATTGTCGGGTATACCCAGAGAGCCAAACCCGACCCGAAATATCATCCAGAGGAGAAAGTATTCAGCGAGTGACTACCCCTGAATGTGAAAAGCGAAAGTCCCGAAAAAGAGAAAATGGTTAACTGTATGTACAGCAGAAGAAAAGAGAAGTGTTTGTTCACTTTCAGAAAGTGGCCCGCCCGAAAATCCCGGTGAACCAAAAATACACATTTGCTGTCCCTAGTAATTGTGTGCCAGAATCGAAGAAGTCAACCATTCCTGCTTCAAGCAGCTTAGGCGGCGGCAGCGTAAGTCTGGCCAAGGGCGCTGAGGCCAGAGCCGGAGTTGAGAACGCCGTCGGAAGCCATGAAGTAAGAGTAGCGGTCGAGGTACGACAGGCTGTCAAGCTTGGGGACGTTGGTAGAGACGAAGCTAGAGATCTCATCGGTGGTACCGAAGGGAGCGAACTCGGTCAACCAGACGGGCTTGTTGCCGCAGGCCTCGTGGACGGCCTGAAGGTGGCTGAAGAGGGTGTCGGTAGCGCTGGAGGGAGAGTACCAGTGGGTGACGCAGAAGTCGTAAGTGCAGCCGGCGGTGTCACAGGCAGAGACCCAAGCCTTGAGCCAGTCGAGACCCTGGCCAGCAATGTTGCTGTTGGTGATGGCAGGGGCTCCGATCTGGATCTTCTTGCCGTCGGTGGTGGCGTAGGGGTTCATGTACTTGACGTGCTGGGTAGCAGCATCGGCGGCGCCAAGGTTGCACTGAGAAGGCATATCGCACTCGTTGAAGCTCAGAATGTGAGTAGAGCCCTTGCTGATGGAGGCTTTAACGTTCTCGGCCCAGCGGGCGGTGTGGGTGTCGATGGGACCCCAGAGCATGGGAACGAAGTTGACACCCGTGGCAGTGATGCCGTTGTCAGCAGAGTCCCAGTTGTAAGCCCAGCCGCAGTTGGTGCAGGCGCCAGTGAAGAAGGCGTTGACCTTGGTGGGATCATTGTAAGCAACACCACGCTTTCCGACAGTGGAGCTGGAGCTGACGACGGCGGAAGCGGTGGCCTTGGCGGAAGAAGTAGAAGGCACAGCAGCAACAGCAACGGCAGCCTCAGAGAAGGCCTCGGCGACAGGGGCCTGGGAAGACGACTTGGGAGCAACCGACTTGATGAGAGTGGTGCTAGGGGTGGCGTAGACCGGGGTGGGAGTGGGAGTAGGGATCACGACAATCGAGGTAGAAGTCGTGGTGGGAGTGTACTGGGCCTCGGGGGCCGCAGGCTGAGGAGTAGGAGTGGGAGTGGCGGCAGGGACCGACTCATCACCGGTGACAGTGACGGTGACCCATTCGGTGACTATGTCATACTTCAGCTCGCGCTTGTCCTGGTGAAGGTGGCGATGAGCGTTGAAAGCCATGGCCTGCTCGATGAGGGCGAGCGAGGCGGCGCCGACGGAAAGAGCCTTCTTGGTGTACATCTTGGCTGATTTTGAGGGATGTTGTACTTGTGTGGGGGATTGGTGAGATTTGTGATTTTCGAGGAAGGTGCTTATGAGAAAAGCTGTTGATGATTTCTTTCTCGACGAGGTTGACGAGGCGTGAAGTACCGGCCTTGGAAGGAGGGTGGAAAAATCACTGGATACACAGAAGGAGTGATGATGTGTTGCTGTTTGTTCGGTCTGTCAAAGACACGAAAAATGAAAGTGGTGTGCGGTTGTTGTTGGTGAATTGGGTTGACAACGAACTGCTTTTGTACGCAAAGGTCGAGGCTGGCGACCGTTGGTGAAGGAATGTGTTGTTGACTGAAGAAGGGACAGGCAAGCCGGTTGGTGTGAGGAAGGGGGAAACAATAAGAAGGGAGAGTGTGGGGGAGGAAGGGAGTTTAAGAAGGCAAGTGACTGGGTGCTGGGGAGGAAACAAATTCAGGCAGGGACGAGGGAAGGAAACAATGGGAAGGTGAGGTCGACTGGGAGGAAGGAGCGTGGGAAACGATCGGTTGTGGGCAGGTAGGAGGCACATCAGATGCAGGTGCAGTTGGGATGCGGGAAGCAGGTGCGGACTGTGGATCCCGACCCATCGGGGCTGCAGAGACACAGGTACCTACGTACGCCAGCAAAAGACACCACCCATGGAAGATGGCAACCCAAAGACCCAGAGGTACGACTCTGACTGGAGCCAACGGGGCTGATTTTCGATTCACCACGAGGAAGGAGGGAGGAGGTACGAACTGTCGTGGTGACCCCTTCCTCCGTACCTGCCTATCCGCGCGCACTAGGAGAAGCAGGGGGCAAGCGGGCCGGATGTATCGCGCTTTCCGGGAAGGGATGTGGTGCGGTAGTGGTCGCTCCTGCCAGTTACAACCGTGGCAGGTGGAGCGTGCCCTTGTTAGGACAGTCGTCTTCCTGAAGGAGTTACGTACCTCCCTGACTTGCGGCCCTTTTTGGTAGTTGCTGTTCATGTCGGGTCGCTGTCGTGGTTGGCAGCTATCCGCAAGATACCCCGTACCTACACATTTCAGTGACTTCTCTTTGCTGGACTTGCATGAAAACCCGTCTACATACGTGGTTACACTCATGTGATCGATATCTATGTGAACAGTAACAGGTGGATTTGAAAGTGGGAACTGCCGCCCCCCGGGCAGTTCATCAGAGCTTTTTGTCCCATTGCTTCGTCCCATTGCTTCGTCCGATTTCTTGCTCAGATTTTGTTTTCTATGGGGGGATCAGCGACTCACAGGCCATGCTTTTTTCTGCAGATCCCGGCCAATTTGTGGTTCCTGCTTGCCCCCCCCCCCCCTGTGGTCTAGACACTCTGGATCTTCCTAGACTGAACTGACTCTTTGGCAGACAGGAGAGGCACTCAGCACAACCGGGATGGTGTGCTGGCGTTGCGTCCTGATGACAGATGGTTACCCAGGACTTCCTCGACTCTTCAACCTCGATCCCCTCCAAAGAAAAAAAAAAGCTGCCCGGAGCGGAGAAGCCAAAGAACTGCCGTGGTGAATCGTGGGCTGGCAGCATCAGAGACATCCACAGTGACATAAGACACATTCCAAGCAGGTCAGTCACCACAATTCAACTCAATGCCATTGTTCAATTGCCAAGGATCTGTGTTCCAGAGCCAACGGTCCATTTCCTTCTTCCAGCTATTTGGGCTCTATTCCTTAATTAATGGAGTCTCGGTTTCACTGGCTCCTGGCTCTCCAACTCTAGGGCAATGGTAAATTGACCAGATCCAGCTTCGATAGCTAGTCTAATGGTGCCAAACGAGGGAGAAACGGACAGTCACATCTGGATTGTTTTGGGTTGTCGCCCACTCACACCTCAGCGACGGACTAGCGCTCGCCTATGGACTTTTCGCCCTTCCACTACTGATGCTGGCCTGGCTGGCCCTTTTTTTTTTTTCTTCTTGGCCAGCTTCCCAGTGACAACAAGCAGCGAAGAGCCAAGAAGAGGGGGAGGGAAAGGTTTGCTGCTTGGAACTTGGAAGAAGTGGCCCATGGGAGAGCCAACGGCTGAGCGGCGAATGGACCAAGAAGCGCCATTTTCACCCCTGGCTTATGCAGGAACGGGGGGCAAATGCTGCAGGAACCGGCACCACGGCGCAACCTTGGAAACACCGGGCGCCAAGGATACGTCGCTCGATACGACCTCGTCTCGTATCTTTTGAGTGCCATCGCGGCTAAAAGATACCTCACCACAAGAGTCCCCTTCCTTGCTTATCCCCTCAACCGCCGGGCCCCCTTCTCCATCCGACCCAGTTGTGCCAGTCAGCGGCTGCAAGAAGTTGATGCACGCACTGGCTGGCGAGGAAGGCACAGGTGGCAGCCGATGGTAGGTGAGAATCAGAACGTCGTTTTGTTCGTAGCTACCATCACTTGCTTACAAGCACACAAGTTACATCTGTCACCGTTGAGTTTAGCACTTTAGGCTCGACTGGCTAGCCGCGTTGCTGAGTGCAACATGAAAGCCTTGACATTTCGCTCGGGGTCAGTGGTTGAGTGCCTTATCTGTATCTCCGTCAACATCTTAGTCGCTCTGCTATTGATGAAAGTCTCTTGCTGCAGAAAAATCCCTCTCTTTTCGCCTCCAACACCAAGTCACTATTCTCCAATATCGTCATTATTGCCTTGGCCCCCGCTCCCTCTCCTCCCTCGGTCGACCTCCATCGACCATGGCTCTCTCATGGCAAAAGCCCTGCGCCTGCCATCACCAGGGAGACGTCCAAAATTATCAATGTCAACTAGAGCAAGACTGTCGCCGGACATTGCCGCTCGGGAAAGCCCCTTCGTCGTCTCGCCTGCCCTTGCGTGGCCCTCAGTGAGAAGCCTCGGAGCCAACGAGTCACCTTCCCTGGGGAGGGGGGGGGGGTCTTCTTTGACGCCTGCGCGGCGCTGACCACGCCCCCAGTACTGACGAGGCCCTCAGGCTGAATAGTCCTAGTTGGCATGGCGAATGGCTTCAGTGGGCAGGGCGGACCCTACGACGACTTTTCGTGTCCCATCCCGCAGCGCCCAGTATGTATCAGACGAACAAAGGATGACAACGGTCGACTTGGGACGGCAGCCCCGCGCTTGGGGCAACCCGAAGGACTGATGCCATTGTCATGGGAGAATAGGCCCAATCCAAGCCGACTACTCCGTATTCATGTGAGCACGATAAGACCCGCGCTTTTGACCCGTTTCACCACTTTGGGCTGGCCCCACGTTGTCGTTGTCTTGGCCCTTTGCGTCTTTTCCTCTTTACGGCTAGCCGGTTACGTGGACCCAGATGGATCGCCAGGGAAAATCGACCGCGCACCAAGTCCAGACTCTCAGCGCGGGAGATGGAGTCGCCTCGGGGGATTCCACGACTGTTCGACAGCGTCAGACCCGGGAGGGCCAGCAATCCGGGCAAGCCAGACCCCAAGGCGCCGGCTGTGAAACCCTAAGCGAAATGAGCTTCCGCCGCCACGGGGCACACGTCCAGCGAATCCCATCCATCAGAGCACCATTTCACTCCAACACAACGCCCATTTTGGCACTTTACTTCCACATGTTTGGCCCTTTTCTGACAGCCGCCCACATTCCTCGCCCAGTCTGTCCCGTTACTTCCCTGCCGCCCTGACAAAGAGCCGATGAGGCCAGCGGCCAGTCCTCCGGATCATCCAAAGCTTGTTAGTCGAGCAGGATTTCGTCCTCTTCCAGCCCAGGGCAAGACGTGCCGGGATGCGACAGCCAGGGCTACACTGCGCCACGCCGAAGCTAGAGCCTCGGAATGTCACCGGCTCCATGACCCGGGACTGCCATGCCGGCCGCTGTCCTCCATCAGGGCAGTGAATACCGTTCTGGACGCTCAGATCATTCGGACTCACTGGCAGTCTGCCAGGCTCACTGCTTCTTCAGAGGCTGAAGCCGACTTCCATAGCACGCGACTCAGAGCCCCGGCCCGCGCAAGGTCCGACAATATCAGGACACGAGGCTTTGCTCCTAAATAGTACGATTCATCACGACGTACGTAATCATTTCGGCACTGCCAGCCGTCTAGTTCTGCTCCTTTGAGTGTTGTCAACCCCGCCCGAGATCGTTACGCAGTAAACGTCGGATAGTTGCACCCACGATCCGAACAGCCGACCTCGAGGGTCGCCCAGTGAGCGAACGCATTGCTTTCATCCGATGTCAATCTTTATTAAGGTTGAACTGTCTCATGCGCGACGACAAGCGCAAAGAGGATCCGTAAGGACTTATGTTTCCAGAATTCTCACTTTATGGTTACTCTAGCTTCCTCATACTGGAGTCTGGCGCGTTTCTTCCCGACATATGTCTTACGGTCTTACCTGCAGGTTGCATGCTGCAAGCCACTCCAGCTTCCTTACATCAGCTCTAGGTGACTCTACTGTTTTCATTTCGTCCAGGATTGGTTCATTCCTGTTCATATGCTTGTCCTCCCACATGTAACGGTGTTGGCTCAGCTGCAGTCGTTGACATCTATTCAAGTCTGCTCCTGCAGGATTGCATGCAAATAATCCCGTCAATAAGCCGGACACACTCATCCATCGATTGAGGTCAGCTCAAGGACGGCGGCGTGTCTATCCGCAATTAGGTTTGCTTGCGACATCGAAACAGTCCCTAAGTGTTCCCCAACGACTCAACCGACAGCCATGAGGGTTTAGAGGTTGACTCCAAGGAGACTAGGCATGTCACGTAACCGAATGATCATTTGCTTCCATTGGCAGACATCCTGTCAAGTGAACTATACTGGCTTCTTGTTCAATGTGACAAGGCCTTGCCGATGCACCAACAAGAAACGCGTGCCCGAGAAGCATTTCTATAGGCAAGAATTGGACGCTACCCAGCTCCTTGGCATCAATGTTCAATAGGCGCCTCTCGGCATTGGCACTCGACAGATGGTTTCGGTTTTGAATCCTCAATGAAGTTGCCGAGATTGAAGACCGAGTTTGTTGTCTCCTGTCTAATGTCTCCTCATTTTCATCGGTGGTGCAGCCAAATGGATTAAACGATCGAGTGCAAGATTGCTCGCAATCTCTATACTTTGTTTGAGACACTCCCATCTTGGAGGTAAGGTAGAGCACGGCAACTTATTCCGATGTGAGACGTAGAGGAGAGCGGGCGCTTCGTCTCACCCCACCCCGGCAGCCGTCCGTTCGGAAGAGGCCCAGTTTTCGGCATCACCAACTTCATCGGCGGCGCGGCGAACTGAGGCTGCACTCAACCATTCTTCACATCAAAGCCCAGACGATGTCGTTCAGTGAACGGGGAGAGATTTTTGGTAATGTCCTCAGACAGCCTTGTCAAGCACAGCCTCCGAAATGCAAACATCAGTTGCGATTGCCGGTGATCGGCAGCCAATGGCATCTAGCAACGCTTGATCTAAGACTTGTGGCGGCCTATCGATCGCCCGACGCCCTGCCACGATGACAATCTTTGGTGCTGCCACACGTGACGTGGCTGCCTTGGCACCAGCTTTAGCTGAAAGCGACGTCAATTACTGCAGGTTGACCGTTGAAGCTATTCATCAAAACTAAATCCTTCAAACCGTCTATAGTCAAACTCGCACACTGGCTTTTAGGCCTTCAAGCACTCAAGCAGCCAAGTTTGCATCATCATGGACACCGCTCCTTCATCACTTCCTCTCATCGTAGCCGCCCCAAGCTTTAGTGATTTTGACTATGGGGCCTTCTTCCAAGGTGAAGGCATGTTGCTCGGAGATGAGAATACGTATTCGAGCGAGACCCTTTCCGAGTCACCCATGAACAAGGTCTCCGCTTCAGGGCCAAGCGGAGAAGGTTCGTCTCGCCACGGTCCCGCTCAGAAGCAGCGACTTGAGAGACGAGGGCATACCAAAAGTCGCAGAGGGTGCTTCAACTGTAAGAGAAGGCGTATTAAGGTGAGCCGGTATTCCCATCAATTTCCACTCTCTCGCATACTGACGTTGTATATAAAAGTGCCAAGAGACGCAACCATCATGTGGGCATTGTAACAAAATGGGCTTGAAGTGCGAGTATCCCAATGCTCCAATGATTGTGCACCAAGTATGTCAATTGCAACATTGGTAATCCATCTGCATTGTCTAATGTAGTGTACCCAGCCGCAAAATCAATTGCCGCTGTTCAGTTTGCAAGATATGCGGTTCTTCCAACACTTTATGCTACAATGCTACCCTCACCACCCGATAGGTAACGAGAACATCTGGACCCATGAGGTTCCATGCTTGTCCCAAACCGTGAGCTCTACGAACTGAATTGATGAGAGACCCTACTAAACCCGTACAGAACGAATTTCTCATGCACGCAATTCTCGGGATGGCAGCCTGCGACCTCATGAACGCGGACCCGAGCCTCCTGGCATTCGCCATGGCGCACCGCGTCAAGGCCATAAGAGCCATCAAAAAGTCCCTCGCCGAGCTGCCGAAGCAAAAGGGCACGACGCCGGAGCACGCCAACGCCCTGGTCGCGACGTGCTTCGCGCTCACGTTCCAGTCCGTGACGTTTGAGGACGGCATGACCGAGTACATGACTTTCATCCGCGGCATCTTGATCATCGGCACGCAGATGTACATCAAGGGCATCAAGCCCATCTTTGTGAACTTGATGGGGCAGGACTCGAGCGCGGTCCTGGAGCCCAAGATGGTGGACCTGCCGCTGATTCGGACCGAGTGGGCGGACGGTGCTGTCGAGGCGGTTGGTGGGTTGAGGGGTCTCTGTCGGGATGGGGTGGAGGTTGAGTATTTTGAGCTTCTTTTGGATATGGCGACGAAGCTGCATACTTCGTCTTGGAAGGGTACGTTATTCTCCCTAAAATATGGAATCCCTGGCCTGTCCTCCCTTCATTATACTGTAAGTGAACCACTAACAACCGACTTGCTCAAACAGCGTATCAGACACTTTCGAAGCACTACGGCTGGTGGATCCAGCTTCCACACGAAAAGTTCCAACGCGTCATCGACATGACCTCGCAGACGATGGTCCTCTTGGCCAGCCACTGGATCGCGCTGAAGCAGATCATGGCCACGGTGACCAACGCCGAGCACGAATGTCGCGAGAAGGCGCCGCCAAAGAAGAGTGCGGTGGATCTGGGCATCATTCGGTGGCTTGGGTACCTAAATCGGCAGATCGACCATGAGCATTTGGTGTATAATCGGTGGCCTTTATGGGTAGAGGAGCAGCTTAAGCAGGACCTGACCTTTTTTGGGAAAAAGTTTTGAGGAAAGTTTTGCTGACGGAGGTTCATGTGATACTGTCTTCACCACATCTTTATTCATTCTGAAACATTTCCGATCTATCAAGAGCTGTCAAGACTTGGACAATCTAGTGTCAAAATTGCAAATGAAAATGACCAGCGTTGTTTGACAGACGACGCATCGTATCCGCAAGAGTGAACACGATGTATCAAGCCCTTCCCGTCCGACGATCTAGTTATCTGATTGAGAACCTAATTCCTTTGGCTCAATATCCACTTACTCACAGACCAGACGAACGCCCCCGATAGACAAGCATAACGTCCCCATGGAGAGCGAGCGAGCGGGGTGGGCAGGAGAAAAGAGATCTTTGCCGATCTTCATCAGCAGGGCAAACGATCTCGGTGAGTGCCGTTTACAGCCCCACTCGTCATCGCCCGCCGGCACTGCCCCTCCCCGGTCAACCACAGGCGCACCGCCCCGGTGGTGGCGTACATGATTGGCCGGTTGGTACGAAACGAGGAATACGACGGACCGGAGGTGGGGCCGTGCAAACCAATTGGCGTCCGAGAGGATGCCTGACGAGGTGCTTGCATGGACGACAAATTCGGCTGAAGAATGCCCAATTTGCTGTCGATTCTCGATAAAGTACCTAGAAAGTAAGACATGCGAGGAGTACGGTGAAAGGGCGCGCTGGTGGGGGTGGGGGGCGGGGGCGGCAGGTGTTTCGCGGCAGCTGAGCCCTCCTGGAAAGTGAAGCTTTCTTGGTCTTTGGGCTGACAGACTACCTTCACTCGGCGTGATCACTACAGGTCTTATTTTGAGGGTCTGCTGCGCATCTTACTTCTCGGATTCGAGGATACACTGGACCTTCATTGGTCGGAGACCAGTGCAGCGAAATGATGGAAGATTGAGTTTTGAATCGGCGGAAAGTCCGCAGAGAAAAGTCCGCAGTCGTCGCATTCCTCGCATTCGACTGATTTTGGTGGCAGTGTCTGACTAGGCTTTTCTAGCAAGAGATTGTGTGAGTTCGCCTTCCTTCAATACCGCACTGCATCGAAGGAAGTCTCGGGACGCGTGAGAAGGATAAAGTCATGAGTGTTTCCTTCCTGGCAAGAAAACATGACTGCCGGCATTCTATATTGCCTTCTTCTTGTTCGCGACGTCCCTGTGACATGAATATCTCGTCTGACCCTCATCACAGAGCGACCTCTGACATAACAACCGTTTCCATTTGAAGACTAGGATAGCTGCCTGGCTGCACCATGTCGACCACGATCGCTGCAGACGAACTGCACACAGTGCCCAGTAATTCGTCGTTGCCCACATACTCCTCGGCAATAGGCATCGAGCTCACAGAAATTTCACCATCAACATCGTCCGATTCCAGTCCCGCACCCCCAGCCTACGATCACACAACAACCGTCATCCCGGGAGACGCGGAAGTCGTGCCCAGCAGTGATGGCGGCTCAGAACCCTCCCCCTCAGGAGACGCCTTCACTCCTACAGTGCACTTCCAGATCGAGACCACCGGAAAGCAATGGCTCTCGCTCCCCATCGGCACCCGGCCCGACCCAATCGCGATCTACCACGTCGAAGCGGGCTCCTGGAGCGCGGAATCCGTTCCGGCATACGTCTCCCTCCGCTTCTCGCGCAATGATGGGAGCTGCCACCTCCTCAGGGGTGACGACGCATCTCAGACACCCGTATGCACGACGCTCTACCGCTTCGGGCCGGGGAAGCCTCCCGTCTTCCGACCGTCTCAGGCTCTCACGCCGTTTCACGTACCCACGCCTCCAGCGTCTTCTGGCTCTTCTTCGACGGAGGTATCACTCCAAGAAGAGGAGAATGGTCACCGCGAGGTAGACGTGAGCGTCGCAGACCTCCAGATCGTCTCCAAGTCCCTCACCTCCCGCACCCAGATTCTCAAGACGCCATTGGGAACCTTCCAGTGGCGCTATGCCACGCGCAAAGAACGCGCTACAGTGCCTGGCGCCGACCAACTACTCGTCTGCGAGCTCGTACAGACCGTCGCTCTGGCAGGCGGGAAGAAGACGGAGGAGAACAAGACGAGAATCGCGCAGTTTGTTCGTGGCAAGGAAACGAGGACGCGGGGAACTGGGCGCACAACGGCGGGGAATGGGGGCAGATTGATGCTCGATGTGATGAGGTGGGCTGACTCGAAGGACGGTAGAAGAGAGGCGGTGGAGGTGCTAGTTGTTGCGAGTTGTGTCTGCATGTTGAAGAAGGAGGTTGATCGGAGACGGATGCAGCAGATGGTGATACTTGCGGCTGGAGCTTCTGGGGGAGCGTAGTAGTGATTCCCAAGCCCTGTTCATTGTTCCGTCCGGTGTCTGTCTTCCTTATGGGGTAGAAAATATTCCTGAATATAATCATTAATGGTCCCATTTGCCATGGTATCCCTTGATTTCGGCCACACTAGGTAAGAAATACAGACTGCAAAATGGTAGGGTCGGCAGGATGGCTCGGACCCATGACTCCCAAAAATAAATAGCCACCGGGGGTCGAAATCCTTTGTGTGTTCTTGCAAGTGATCAGTCGCAACTACTGCGCCAGAAGTCTCCTCATCCGATGGTGCTAGGAGAGGAGAATAGTTTTCTCATATACCTAGCAAAGGCGGTGCCTGCTCCCTGAATATGCGCTGGCTTCTGTGTATTCATCGTCTCTGGGGAAACATGAGGACGAATTCCCTCATCCTACGACTTTTCGAGACCACATATCACCTCATCCCAACGTGATTACTACCCGCATACCGGCTTATAAGAGCAAATATGTACGTTTACTCCACTATTTGCTCCCGAGTCCAAAGTCGTCATCGATCTTGACCTGAACTTGCTCAACCTTCCCCCTATAGACGGCTGGTCTCAACACATCACTATGTTACCTGAGCTCTAAGGAGCCGATGGATCAATGACAAGTTTAGACTCGCACTCAGCCCGGCAAGCAGGCGAGCCGCGCAGATTTCGCATAAATTCCAGAAGATGGACCACTTTGTATCGTATCAGCATGATTCCTTACTCAGTGAGACTCTATGTATGCTTCTAAAGCTCGGCATGATCATGGAACGTGACAGTCTTGCTGGTAGATCGATTACAATCGAAGACCTGCCGGTGCCATCCATCACTTGGACTCATACAGGTCAAAGATTGGATTCAAGATCCAGTGACTGTACTTCAAGCGTGGTCCATTTGTCCATCTGCCAAGATTAAAAATGACACACAAGCCAAAGACGTCTTAGTATGAGTTTACGAATAAACAACTCCTCCACACCACCCCGTATGCTTCCAGATGATCTGCCGAAGTGCGTCCACCTGGCCTGCAATACACCTATGAGCCTATAGTGAAATCCAGGGCCAGTTTTGAAGACCTGATGGCTTGCCAAAGACCGAGTTTGCTTTGTCCGCACGCGCCTATATCTGCCTATAGGCTGGGCGACTTATGAACCTGATAGTCAGATTCAGTTTTTGAAAGAGCCAGCATGGAAGCACGCATATCAAAACAAAGGAACGACTCTTTCGAGACGAGACGAACTGAGCAGTCTTAGCACACCACGTAATAAGCTTCAAGTGTCCATCAAAAGCGGCATACCAGTAGAGCTTGCCCTAGGAAGAAAGAAAGGCAGGCCTTTCAGCGGTCGCATCACGACGGAGATAATACACCAGCTTTGCAGTGGCTGTGCCTGCCTCATCCTGGCCGCCCAGGTATGATACGGCGCCCAAAAGCACCCACTCACAGAGCTCCGACTAGAAAGGTATCCTTGTTATAAATCACGGCAGGTGACATACAGATAATAACAGTGGCTCGAAAAGGGTTGGTCTATATGAACGATCTATTCACAGGTGTCAACTCGAAGTCAGAAGTTCATTAGAGCTCATTTTTACGTGGTCTCCCGTTTAAGCTCCGTCATCGTCGTTTGCGTCGTGAAGACGAACACGAGAGGAACGAGGGTCCGTGAAGAAAGCTCGTGAGTGTTCTTTTTCCTTCCTCATTTGAGCGGGGTCAATCGCTACCTCCGTGATTAGTGAGAATTTAGTGCAATGAATGAGCTGATAAATCGTCCACAGCTTCTACACCTGGATCGACAAGCAACTTTCTATCGGATCTAGTTTTGAGGAATACGATATGGACCACGAGAATGTGACGATTTATAGCTGAACGTCAGGGCAGAGTGTTCATTTGGGGTCCGCTGTCCTGGCAGGTTATAGGATCTTACGGACAGGATTTTCACACAGACTCATGAGTTTGGCTTGCAAGCTGCCGGCATCTCCCATGCGGGACCATACATGGATTTATTTCCGTTCGAGACGGGAATGTATACACGTAAACATACTGGGAAACTCATATAACATCTGACCTTGTCTACTTACAAAAAGTCTCAATCTTAAATAACATGGAGAAACTTACACTGAGCTGTAGAGACAGACGATTTCGATATATCAGAAGAAAGGGCATGTCTCCCGCCCACTGATACTTGGGTTGACACTGGAAGCTGTTACCATGTCGGCAGCGCTAGTCACGCCACCCCTGCATAGTTAGAAGGGTAACCCCGCACCACCGCTCCAAACAACACAAAAAACGAAGCTATCGTCACCCACCATGGCCCACCACATAGTAGACATCAAAATATCAGAATGAAAACAAAAAACATACAACACCAGGTATTCGCTGGTCGTCACCGACCCAACTACTAATCCGGCCCTCATTGGCTTATCTATGGGAGAGCGGACGGGATCCCGAGTTTTCCAATGGGTATGGTCGTATGTGGTAATCTGGGAAGCAGAAGATGCCCAAATTGAGAGGAAAGGGGGACATTCAGCACCTCTATCTCAACCCCCCATTCCCAGATAGACTCATTCCAGTGAGGGTTGACGTCAGATGGAAAGAGAAAAGTCAAATCTGTCATTTATTCTTATGATTCGTCTCGGTCCCGTTCACTTGTTACCAGAACTCTCGGTGTCCCCTTGGGCCACCATCACGATGTCCAACCAAGGGTTGATCAACTGCTACGGTATCGTAACGTCAGGGATGAAAGCTTCAAGGCCATGATTCACTGCTATTCACATCCATACCTAGGCTCGCTGTGAATTATGAGGTGTCTCTTGTGGCAGGAGAGGGAAACAGCCCTACCAGGTCTGAGCCGAGGAAGTAGACACAAGTACCTTACTCTACAGCCTAACTATCCAGAAGCCTGACTCCATATTTTTATGTCACCTCAGATGTCTAGTGAGCATGACCTTTTAGCATAGCGGCCCTCCATCTGCCTATGTACGCCATATTGTACCTGATACCACACTCACATCAAAACTCCTTGGCATCACTGAAAGGAAGCGGCCCTTGTGTCAAGAATACTCCAAGGCCTCCTACTTCACCTATTATGCAGAAGACATATGACGTGCGAATTCTAAGCTCAGAACCAATACGCTAATCTTGTCTGACTTGTCAATGTTGAAATGATGGGGGAAAATACTGGCCTAGGCAACCGTGGAAGCCTGAGAAGAAGAAAGTTGATAGCTGAGATAAGCCTGCAGCCCGATTGAGGCCATGAGTCTTTGCATCTCCCATAACACATACTTAAATCGACACTCCTACCACATCGCCTGCGCTCTGCCTGTCTGCTCCAAGCAACCCATTCAACATGACCACCGAGGTGAATACCCCAAGCCTACCATAATCACGCAATGACCTCACTCACAAGCTCAGCCATAATAACCATTGCAACCAAGTCTCTAAGCCAATACTAACCTTCTTGTAGTACATCTTCCTGTTTCAGTCAAAGATCATTGCTGCACGTGGGAGTCCTGCTTTTCTAAGAGAGGTTCCCTCCCTCTACGAAAATGTCCTTGAGCTCCAGCTACCGGACTGCATCGTCAACGAGGCATTCTTGCCCAAAAACGTGATTCTCAAAATAGAGTATCCTAAAGACAGGGACCTATTCGATCCACCAAAGACGGCGCTCTTCGAAAACGAGGCCCTCATCTACGACCGGCTTCAACCGCTGCAAGGGAGCGTTATCCCAAGATACCTGGGCTTAGCGGGCATCGCGGGCAGGAGAGCGCACCTCTTGTCAGATATCGGCGGCATGTCCATGATCAAGAAGGAACTCCTCCGGACTGATCCAGCGACAAACTTTGAGGAGATGATTTCTGTTTCACTTTGTCTCATACGTCAACACGGCGTTCGGCTAGAGTATCTGGACCCGTCCAACGTCCACTTGTGCGGAGATGCGCTTTGCATCGTGGATCTTGAGCATGCCCAGTTGATTCCGTCAGACCTCTCCCACGAGGAGGAGGAAGAGGAGGAGGATCGTCTCCGGGAACAAGTACGACATTTCGTGGATAACATCCAGGCTCGACGAGATCTTGAGAAGAAGATGATAGAATTGCACAGGCATCCTCCCTGGCGATTCAAATCTCCGAGACCTTAAAAAAGGAAAGAGGCGACAAAAGGAAAGAAGTTTGATAAGCTGAGAGAGGTTACTGGGGGGCATGGGGTTGTGGTCGAAAGGCCCGACCTCCGCCGGGCATCAGGCTCCTCCTCAGACATAATCGTAGATGATTAGCATGAGTCTATTGATAGGCAAGAGAAGAACTATGTCAGGCCTGAGTCGTTAGCGTGCTCTCGGGAACTCACAATGAGGGGGACAAAAACATTATTCGCTGCAGTCTACTCGGGTTTCTCGGTTATTTCAATGCTCTGACCAAGACTCCTGACTTACTGGACTGGGCCTCTCGACATAGTTGGGAATATGCATGATAATTGAGAAACTCATGATGGTGGTAGATATCCTACAATCGCCATCGATCCCGGATTCGTATTGAGGGACTGTTAAAATTGCCTAGCTCAATGAGACCGGCTAGCAGGTCATCAGCCCGGTTGCGGTGTATTGTGAGGTCAAAATCAGTGGTATTAGTGATTTAAGTGATGACAGACCTGGCTGGTCGTAGCATGGTCAATCTAGGCAGACTGTACAACTCAATGACATTGACCAAAATCAAATCAACTTATGACGTTGTTTATTCATCTCACCGGGCTATAAGTCCTCTGCACAGTATCGTGGGATGGTGGTGGTAGGCCGGGCTGGCAGTAGCACCATATCCAAAGCAAGCCGAGCTCTTTTTCACTTGTCACGCTGCAAGTAACGAGAGATAGGAAACCACTTGTTAGGTAAGGAAGCAAAACCTTCAGTCGTCGCACATGAAGCCTGGTTGAGACTCACAGGGCAAAGTGACGCCGATGCTGATGACAATGATAGTGATAATTATGAAGACAACGGCGTCATCTCAAACAGTAGCAAGAAATAGCTTCTTCTACCCTCAGACCTCGCAGAGTTTGTCAATGACTTACCATCCTTCATCAAGCAATGCGATTAACATTAGACAGCTCGTCAAGTCCACCAAGCGCAAGGAAATCGCGTTCATATACTCGGGCCATGACCCAGCGTGCCGCGTACTTGCGAAGTACTCGATCATGACCTACATAAGGCACCCCACGTAACCCCAAGAAGTGAAGTGATCAACACCGCGCTTACTGGGGTTGAACATATGAGGGGCCCACCCAGTTGACTTGGAGAGGAAGAGGCCAGTCTGATCGGCCTTTCCAGGCGAGAGATGCCAACTAACCTCGTCGCACAAGACAACATCACACTAGGTAGCCTTGATCCCTCTCTTCCATCATATTCACCACAATACATACACTCAGGGACTGGAAAAGGGTACGCACGACCCGTTTCAAAAGACATGACAAATTTCGAGTCTCAGAACTTCGTATACACAAACATGGAGCTGATTGCAGTACCGCCTTATCGTGGTTGGCCGCGCCTCGCTCCCGTACATTTTTTACATCAGAACGTCGTCTGTCGTTGGGGGCTCAACACTGATGGCGTAGATGACGTGACTTATATACGTTGTACTGCGGACCGAGGACCTCTTTACTCCCCTCTCTACTCCCCTCAGCCACGAGCTACTCCGTATATCCACTTCCCAAACCTCAGCGCCTCAGCACGCCTCGCTGCCAAATCCCAAACCTACACTCACAACTTACACAAACCCATCCCCCGCACATCACGAAAGCAGCCAAGCATAAGCATCCAGTAGTTCATCAATAAGCAGGTCAGAAAAGAGGCTGTATTGTTTGTATCCATCACCAAAGCCAGGGTACGCAGCAAAGACGAAAACCTTTCCCCACGACCAAAACACAATCGTCTCCAGTCTTCGCCACATCTCCCAGCTTCGACTACTTTCTACAAAACGCGTCGCCTTTTTTCCGTTCCTCCCCGTGTTACCAAGCCAAGGAACATCTACTCCTCGAGCCGCGTTTACAGAAACTGCAGCACAAAAACTCAAAATGAAACTCCAGATTTCACTCATTCCAATCCCCTCCATATCGACACATGCGCGTCAACATCACAAGATGACGCCCGAAAAAAGAAGACATCATTGCATCTTTCCCCTCCTCCCATCCCAGTATTGGCAAACTTCCGAGATACGTAGAAAGCCGATAGTTAAAGACAGGGAAGAAAAGGGCAAGGACCGCAGATGTCGACTACATACATGAAAGTGAGAAAGAAACAAAGAGCTTCCTCAACTACAAGACGCGAAATCATCAGGGTAAAACGGTCAAGCCAAAGATCCCAGTCGGAAAGGAATCATTTGGCTCCTATCTCCCTCATATCCCCTCCCCATTTCTTTTGTCTGCTTTCCACACCGTTGATCGTCTTTTCCGAGTCCATAATCCCCGGCTCAAGTCCTGCCCTTAGACTACTAACGCTTGGACCGTCTTCTGCTGTTTGCCCCGTGATGAACGTTGCAGGCATTGAGACAGGGAGGTCAAGTGGCGTCTTCGCCTACTCGAGAACCATTCGCCAAGATCAAAACAAAGTCGTACTGCGCGGTCGATGCTGATTTCGTAAAAGAAAAAGGTCATTTCATGTCGTTAAAAGTCGTAAAGCTCGTCCAGAAAGGCCCCGGTGTCTCTATTGAACACCATGCTTCCTCCACTCTCCATAAGTCTTGCAGACCATGGTGATAATGACCATGATCGTGTCTTGCCAATTGCAAACTCCACCATTGAGGGACAGCAAACACTTCGCTTGCCCATTTAGGTGAATCGCGTCAAACCCCTCCACCGGCTGGGCAGCTCGCGCTCCTGCGCAACGCCATAGTTCTCCCCTTCGCAACCGAACCCGCGGTTCTTAAACTGCTCGGGTCCGCACTGCATGACCGCCGCGCCGTGGTTCGAGTTGGGCCTCAGGCCCAGCGGCTCGGCTGCCTTGCGGGCGGTTCGGGAAGTCCAGGCACGAGCTGCCTCGCGGAAGGATCGCCTCGAGTCGTTGGAATCGATGCTACTGCGAGTGCTAGCCGCGTAGGAGGGATTCGGGGGCGTAAAGTCCGTGTCCATGGGCATGGGGCCGAGAGAGGACGAGGGCTGGTGCTTGGCGAGCTTATTGCTTGCGCGGTTCGAGCTACTAAACGACCGGCGAACAAAAACAGTACCTCCACCGACAGCGCGGGGGGGTGGGGGAGGAGGCATGTAGTTAGGAGGAGGCGGAGGCGGCATGTAATTGGGAGGTGGCATGTCCACCGAGGCAGACTGGGCGTGAGACCTTTGCTTGCGGAGACCTGGGATCGAGAGGTCAACGGACATACGAGAAGCAGACTTGCGCAGCTTCTTGGCTGCCGACATATCTTCATCATTGTCCATGCCGCGTTTCCTGTTTCCGTCGCGCGAATCTGGCAAAGGCTGAACCTCCTCAGTCGCCGGGAGAGGCCACTGACCCGATACGCGCTCGGCAAAGGACTTCTTGTCCGTGGGAGGCTTGGTCGAGTACGTGGTGGTCGAGGGGTTGAACGAGGGCGGGGGAGGCTGGCGGGTGGAGCGGATAGCATGCGCATCAAAGAAACCATCCTTCATAAGTTGCTGGTAGCTGGCCATGATCTCGTCTCTGCTGGGCATGCCCGCGCCGTTCGCGAAATGTGCAGGCATCGCGGCGGCGGTCGGCGCGCCAATGGGGCCCAGGCCGTTGCCGTTACCATTGCTGCTGCCGAAGCCCTCAGCCCCGCCTCCTTGAGCAAGGAGCTTGCCATCGAGGCTCAGTGGGCGCTTAGCCCCCTTATCCTTGTCCCTGACGAAGCTCAGCTTCTCGCGGAGGCCGCCCCAGAAACCCTTCTTCCCGACGTGGCTGCTAGCCGAACTGGCGGGTCTCTTAACTTCGCCGTAGGTGATTGTCGGTTGGTGTAGAAGTGGCTGGGACTGCTGGTGTAGCGGCTGGTGATGTTGCTGCTGCCGAAGTCTCTCAGGGGAGAAGACACCAGCGTCGGGTGCGTCGACGTAAAAGTCCATGTGGAAACGGCGGGCAATCTCAGTCGAATCCTCGGGGCCGAGGAAGTCGATTGGTGGCGCAGCCGAGGTACGGTCGTTCATTGAACCCTCGACGAAGCGGGAATTGGCGCGCTGCACCGACGAGTTTGATCGTTTCGCCGCGGGTCGCTGGCCGTTGGACGTCGAATTGCTTGACGGAGGGCCCGCGATCGGGTGGGAGGTCAGCGGACCAGGCGCCGACGGGTCCTCCATTGTTGACATGGGCATTGTTTCGTTTGTGCTTTGGTCCAATGTTTTGTTCAGAAAGGGGGTTTGGGTGATTGAGTTTCTTGCTGTGTGGGTTGACAGCCGAAATCCAACCTTTTTTCGTCTGTTCTTCTTTACTTGAGGTCTGTTGAACCGGGGGAAAGACGTAATGGAAGCTGTCGTCAGACCCTGATGAGCGCAAAGGTGAGGGGAAGGTTTTGTCGGGCGATGCGGTGCTGCGGCATCCGAAAGGGTTTTTGTTTACTTTTCTGTCGTTACATCTGCCACGCTCCGCATCCGCGCAGGCACGCGGCGCAACCTCTCTGTCGTCGCGGGCTTCTTCCCTGCACAGATGGCAGAGGAGAAGGCACAATGAGGCGTGTTCAGGATGATGAGAGTTCGAGTATTGTTGCAGTGTGGAGTGGGGATGGAAGAGTGAGAAAGTGCTGAAAAGGGGGAGAGGGAAGAAGATACAGCGAGGACGAAGTTTGGAAGAAAGTAAGGCAAGGTAAGCTAAGCTAAGCTAACGGTACGCGCAGAAGTCACGAACCGTGATGGGCTTGGTTGGAGGCGTGTTGATCTCGTAGTACCAAACGTATTGGAAGGGCAACGGCAACCAACAATGGAGAGCCAGGGGTAGTGCGATTTTTTGGGGGGGAAAGACCCGCAAATGGTCCAATGTCGGCCGGGGTTGCTGACCTCTGATGGCTGCTGTTCCCCGAACTAAGGGCCAGAATGGGCAACTGGGGGCCGCGAAAGGTGGAATCGGCCGTTGCTGCGTTGCTCGGGCAAACAAAACGCGCCCACATTTATCCCATTCGTCCCTGGACGCGCAAGATGCGACTCCACTTGGCGCGTTGC